GAAAAGGATGTTTCTTGTTCAATGGTGAATAAATGACGACAATTTTGTAATTTGAGATATGAACAACTCTTTTGGTTTCAGATATGTCGAACTTTCGTTATGCTCAAGTGCCTGTTGAGAAATTAGATTTTCTAATTGCAATAATTTCAATTCTATTTTCGCAAATACAAATTGGAACTTTGAGCTTCTTAATCTTCTCCTTCCTTGTACTTCAAGTTGCGAGTTTATAAAACAATATTCGTATGTGTAACGTTTGGGATTATAGATTTATCCGAAATTTAGCTTTCGTTAATTTTAAATCTTTACGGCCCTACTACTATTGATATACACCTTTTATGATACACCCTATTCAAGTTTATCCAACGTATTTAGGGGAATACGTGCTGAGCTGCAGGGTATGAATAAATAGCATGTCTCCCTCTCTCTTTTCTCCGTTCTCTTTACTCCGCCGGCTCTCTTTCGCTCCGCTGTGCTCCGCTTTGACTGGCTAAGGGAACGAAGGCTGAGGGAACGAGCGAAGGGTGAGCACGTGGCTTTTGATACTCCGTCACGGCGATCTTCGCGACCGCGCCTTGAAGTCTGAATTATTGGCCCAGAAGAGCGGCGCTCCTTGTCGAATGGTATCCGGGCGTGACGTCAACGGCACCCAGTGGGTGGCAGAGAAAAACGGAATCCGCAAATATCCCACAAACGCGGGCACAGAAGGGAGAAAGGGAGAAAGAGGAAACCGCCGGTGAAAGACCGCACCAACCGGGGATCCTCACGCCTTCTCGGAGGATTCTCTCTCGGCACGATTTTTGCACAGTTCATTAGCAGTCGACCGAACTTCGGCTTGATTGTCCAATAATGTTCGTTTATGGTTCACATAAAAATTCGCAGTTCCAAATAACTTGTATTTTCAGGGAACGTCAATATACCATGCCGATCGTTTCCGTCAATCAGGACTTGATAAGTCGAAAAGTTCAATTCTTGATTATCGTGTGGTTTCGACACTTTTGGCGTAGCTACGTCGCTATGAGATAATTTTAATGATAAATATCTCGAGTTATTCTTTTATCGAATACTAAGGTTTAGGTTTCGGTTTGATTAGGTTAATTTAGTTTCGTTGGGTTACCTCATTGCGTTTTTTCTAGCCTGAATGATTTTGCAGCGAATGAACGGGGGGGGGGTTTGTTTACTCACTTCTGGCGTGCGCATATTACATAACGGACGCATATATAATCCTCACTTGATTTAAATGATATTTTCTCCAACTTGAGAGATCCTTTGAGATGCGTTCACCTGCCACTCGATACGCAACCTGTACCACCCGAGTGATAACTGTTTCCTGCATCACTGATTTTTGATGGGGATTTATTTCCCGGGCACTACTCTGTGAAGGAGTCTTCTTCCCAGGACTCCGCTCGCGCACAAACGCATCGCGTCAGTGCTCGGGGGGGTCTCTTGTGGAGTGGCATTCGAGCGGAGGGGCGCTAAAAAAGGGGGTTAGCGTAAAGGGTGGCCGTGCGAGTGCTCCGCGGATGGGTTGCACGGGGAAGGACTCGAAAACTAGACGAGCCAAGATGAGACGAGTCTGGCTGAAAGTGAAGCCGGGAGAGGTGCATCCGCGCGTGGCGAAAGAACGCGGGGCATTAAAAAATCAGGAAGCGGAGTTTAATGAGCGACTAGCACCAGGAAATAATGTCACGTAGCTCGCTGCCGGGAGTTATTAACGACACTCTTTTTACACTTTCTCGGTTGCAGAAAGAGCGAGCCGTGGAAATGCTTATCGTGATAAGGAAGTCGAAGCGTCTGAGGAGATCGGGCAGGGAAGATACGACAAATTAGACGTAATTGTAGACGCAATGCAGAACGGGCCTGGTGAAAAAAAACGTCTTACTCGACCGCCGTAAACATTTCATATTCGTTTCGAACACGATACGGTACGGATTACAAAGTACCTTTGAAGCTACGTTTTGAAAATAGAAGACAAGATACCGTTGGAGATATGTGGTTCGAAGAACGGAATTTGGAGAGCGATATTCCTGAAAACATAACGTCGAAGTATATAATCAGAGCAACGGGTCTAAATAAAGTGGCGATAATCCCGACAACGCATTATTTCGGACTCGTCATAGCTATCTTCATAGCTTGCACAACCCCCACCGCTCGCGCTCGCGGCCATTAATTAACTAAACACGCGTCTTCTGTCGGCCGTACCGCCGTCATCGGCGATCGGAATCGCTCACTTTGAATAAAGTCTCCATTAATTCGCGATTATTTGCGTATTCTCGATCGCCGTCCGCGGTAGACGGATTCTTTGATGTGACCGAAATCAACGGGTTCGTCATTTCTCGTCTCTTTATACGCTTGAGACACGCGAATCTCCATAATTTATATATTCTAAATCCACCAACTTTGAATTAGCTCCCGATCATTACGAGATTCTCGGTTGAAATCTTGCCTGTGCAATTTTTATTTACGCACGCGCGCGTGTGCGAGGCCAATTATTTGCCTTTTATTCGATATATATACGATTATTTAAAAAGTCGCGCAGTTCATTTCTATAAATACCTTGGAAATTATTCATATCAAACAGATCAAATTCATGCCGACGCCGGAGGAGATCACCGCGCAGCCATTTATCCGAATATCAGTTTCATGGGACGAGTCCGTAACACTGGACTCGAGGACTATTTTCGACCTCCTATCGAATCAATGAGGGACAAACTCGCGTTCGTTCCAGTCACATTCGAAGATCGTTCATTTTCAAAGTCGATGAGGCGTGACGGAGAGACGACCGAAAGATTCCTAGATACCCATGGCCGATGTCAAGCCTCTTTTACCCACTGTCTTCCGACCGGTTCCAGGATCGAGATACCGATAACACGGATGATCGATGCCGTACTACACGAACAGAAAATCGTCGATGACAGTGCGACGGTGTCGAACATCGACGTCTCATTTACTTCGTCGAATGCAATAGGCGGCGATCGCGCTGGAGTAGACGTCGTCGCAGGTTCCTTTCGGAAAATATTTACATAAAAAGTTAACTTCTTTCTAATACGACTGTGGACATCGTGTACCTCCTTGAAAATTGATTAATTAAAAAGGATGGAAAGGAAACGAGGTCTGAGTTAGGCGTGGTGAAATTTAGCTAAATGATAAGACGAGATATATCGGATAATTGGTAAATATCCGAGGAAAATGCAGTTTTCGAGATTGATGCACGTTAATATCGATATAGCGAAGCGAAATCGAATTAAAGCAGAACGTTCTATCTGTGAAAGTAACAGAAGCCGAGCTCGTTAAAAAATATCCATCTTTCTCCGTCTACGGATGACGCCACACCGTCGTTCCTCTCGTCTCTCGTCATCCTTTTTCGGTTTAGAAACTTAACGAATAATCGCGAGCTGAAATCGCATCGGCGCGCTCGCTATGCGTCCTGAATGCAGTTCGATGCATATTGCATGGCCGAAGGAAAGAAATATCCGCTCGCGTTGCAATCCTGTGTGAACGCAGAGCCCGGTTGGAAATCAGAACAGGGCGACGTACGTGAAACAGCATTTATAGCATAGATTTTTCGAAGCTTGACGAGTGGAAAGGTAACGGTGGCTCGTAAAAAAGAAATAAAGCCCAGCGTGGAACAAATAAATATATCGTGTTCCGATAAACCGATACTTCCTCGATTATCTAACAAAAAGGGAGATTATGAAACACATTAGGAATCCGAATTATTATATACAACCGTAACTGATAAGAAATATTTGTATTTGTTATTCTTGTCGTTGTCATATTGCCACTGTGATCTTCGAAAATTATTATTCCATTCACTTCCACACTATCGTTATAAATGCAGTTGATACTTATTTACGCAGTAATCTCAGTATTAATCCTTTATGCTACATCTCTGTCAATTCGTATTTTTAGCATCATAATTGTTTTTATGAAAGATTTATAAATCAACAACGATACAATGGACCAACAAATAGGATAGATGTTAATATTATGTTCCATAATGGATATTTAGGCGCGCGTCTATTCAGAAAAAAATTGTTGGTCATAGAATATTGCTTCTGTGGCATACGTAATTTACACAGTTGGTACCTAGTCTTGCGTAATTCAGCCTTGTGTGCTGGATATAATCTCAACTTTAATGGCCGCGAGACGCGCATCGTGTTTTCACAGCTCCGTGTAATCGAAACATCAAATCACCGTTACGGCGTTCAGAAAAAAGTGCAAATACCGCCTGCAATCCCGATGGACAAAAGCCCAAAATTAAATACGATATTATGAATTTCCGATAAGCTTTCCCCTTTAAAATTCAAAACACAGTATATTGCTTCGAATTTTTATTAAATTTCTTGTGATTTTTATGCGCAATTACAAACGGAGCACGGTGGAATATTTCTCTATTATCGTCGCTCAGCGAATCCAGTTAACCCACTGCCGAGATAGGACTGACAATGTTGTGCTGGTTTTTATCAGGTGAAATTCTGGTCTTCACCATCATGATTTGCACGCCATCACGCAACTTTCCATTGAGTTCTCCGCCGTGGAGAGTCTCGATCGTGGATTCTGTTGTCGAAAGCTGATTCTATGAATTATAGAGTAATATGAAGTATAGAGTAATATGCAGCCGCCATAATTAAAAAAAAAATGTACGAAGAATGAAGCAAACCCGATCCGTAGAGGAAAAATAGTCGAAATGATAACCATTTTCCGTTAACGGGCCGTCATTAACACTTTTTTTTTTTCAAATTTTGCGAAAACTATCACAGATTATACGGTCGATACGAATATTCTTTTAGTTTAAATCCGACTTTATTTCTACCGTACATACATATGCCAGAGGTTTCAGAAAATCGATCAGACTATATCCAGTTATACCTACCTCTTAAGCTTCTACCTTAAGGTAGAGTAAGGTACCGAGGATGAAAAGGATAAGAAAGTGAGGGGACACACACAGACACGCAATGTATATTGTCAAAATATATTCAATGAAAAAATGATCTTGCAAAAGTTGGACAATCGTTCCGCATCGTTACAAGGAGGACTAATAGTAGGAGCAGTAATATCAATAGTCCTGCGTATCGTCATTACTATTATTACCTCTCGCCTAGAGAAGCACGACCGCTACCGAATGCAATTAATAGAGCCCTACAACCTATAGCGGTGCCTTAAGAAACGTACGGAGGAACGTTCTTTATTTACAATAACAAGGCCGAACCGTGTGTCACTTCCGTCGCGGCCTGATCTTGAGCAACAATGTACACAATTTGCGACTCTTTTTATAAATAATTAATATTATCCCCGTCAAAATCCAGCGTTCCGTTCGCGCGTCCGTTCGTGAATCCGTTAGGGTCGCGATTCTACCTGCTGTCCTTTTCAATTTCAAACAAAAATGGAAGAGACTTGCTGCACAAAAGGCACATCAAGTGACATTAAGTCATCGGTAATTTCAATATGTAACTGACAGATTGATTCATCTCGATAAGGTACTTTCCGCGTCCTACTTGACAACGGCCGACGGTCGATTCCAATTATTTCCTTTGGGAACTTTCCAAACATTTCGGAACTTTGAAAACGCTGAATTTTCACGTAGTATCGCTTAACTTCGCGACCCTTAGTTAGGCTTAGACGAATAAATAGATCTCGCAACTAATTACATTGCCTTCAACGAACGACTTTAATGTTTTGTTCGCGGCGGGTGGCCGCAATCCGAGCTAGAATAAATACAACGATTCTGTCGATTAAACGAACCCACGCCGTCTCAGCGCGTCCGTGTCAACTTTACAACATTTTGATTAGCTACTCGATCCGAAGCAAGACCTCCGAGGAAACCAATTCCACAATTGACAAGCGACATTGAGAGATTCTTAAGATTTACATTCAATTTATTACTAGAAGAGTAATCAAATCCCCAGCACTTTCAACGAACGTATTCCTCGAACCTCGGTCAGCGCTGTCAGGGTAAACCGGGTAGTTCCTACACCTGAGTGCCCAGGTATCTACCCGGTACTCGAGTTCGCGGGATACTCGGACACCATCCGAAATAATCCGGAGACTCGGGGCCGAGAATCCTGCGTAACATCGAGCGTTACCCGTCCGTTTGATTTTCTCGGCAGCTAATCCCGCATCAGCTGATTTAGTCTTTTATTTTCTAAGGTACTGTCTAAGCTAATCACAGTACTCAAGTACCCAGGTAATTTGCAAAATAACCGGATACCCGGCGGATACCCGTAATACCCGGGTTTCGAGGCACCCGGGCACTCGGATATATATATCGATATCACTAATCTCGCTTCGTGGCCGATCCTCGCTAATCGTCTATTTAACGTTTTAAGTTACTCGACACCGCGGAAACGTTACTTTCGTTTTTACATGCTCAACGATTATTCACAATTTATACCGCCTTCGCGCGCATCACTCGCGGGAAGCATCACTCACGTGAGAGAGAAAGAGAGAGAGAGAGAGAGAGAGAGAGAGAGAGAGATGAACCGTCCAAGCGCGAGGTCTTATCGCGAGATAAGAGAAGCGCGGATAACGCTAGTCGGTAAGAACGATCTCGGATCTCAGGAATCACGCGCAGTCCAGAGACGTCAGGGACGCAGGACTGTGAGGACCACCGAGCATGAAGGGCGGGCTCATCGGTGGCCCGCCACTTCCGGTGCTGTTGCCGTAGAGTTCTATGTCACCGAGGCTACCGCCGTCCACCCCGCCGTCGCACTTGTCAGATTTGCCTTCCTGCTTTAGCACCATGCGCCGCCATTTTGCTCGCGCGTTTTGGAACCAAACCTGAGAACAAAATAAGCGGAAGGGTCGGCCGTTACGTCCGGATTCAGTCGGAGTTGGTGACGAACGGACTCGACGACTCGAGAGAACTCATGCGCGCTCGTTGAGGGACGTGACTTGTTGACAAGCGGCTACAGCTTAAACTTAACGGAACGTTTCATTAACGTTTCTGCAGTAATAATGATATACTGTTGTTTAATATTCAGGGGGAAGTTATGTCAACATTTTTCGACCTTTCTTTACGCATCCGTACAGTCGCAAGCTCGCGAGCAGCTTTGGGTAAGAAATTAGCTCCACCTTCTGTTCACGTTTGCACGTAGACACTTTCGGACGCGCGCGCGTCCGAGTCTGTTACAGAGATTTCCTCCATTTTACCGATAAGTGAAAGACGGGGTAATCTATGTCGCCGTTCTGAAGATAGTCTCCTCCTTCATGATGATTCCAACGAAAAAAAACTCGCAAACTGACGACTGCTGTAAGTTTCTACCTCGAGTACATGAGCGGGCACGCGCGCGCTCGTGTGACTGCGTGTGTGCGCGCGCGGCGAGTATTCGTGCGTTTCGCGATCAATATCAAACAAGATGGCGACCAAGAACCCTACGAATACAATAGCGGCCACCTCCAACCCTCTCCTTCGGACTCAACGAATGAACGCAGAAGCAGGAGCTATGTAACGGAATGAAATGTTATACCAGAGAGAGAGAGAGAGAGAGAGAGAAGCTGGAGGGAATATGGCGATGGTATTTTCCAATATGACATTAGTAGACAGTAGATAGCTGCGATTCGTTAAAAACAATATTCTCTTATATAATTGCACTGAGATACAATTATAGAAAAAAACAAAGAAACAAAAATAGCGCAGTTTTCTCCCTCAAAAAAAGATAAAATCGTTTATCATTCAATGGTAATTTAAATTTTTAGTCGAGAAAGATATGATTAGAGAGAGAGAGAGAGAGAGAGAGAGAGAGAGATGCGATTAGACGAAGTATGTGACCTTTGAACTTTGAAATCGGACGTCATATTTAATCTTAAATATGCGAATAGAATGCGACTTATAGGCCTCAGTGGAAATGCACATTAACCTTTACCGTCAGCCCATTGGAAGTTGTAAACTTTGGAACAATGAACGACGGAAATTTAAAAGTCCCGAGCTATGCGACAGCCTTTTCGGAACGTAGAACGAGGTAGCCCGAGTTCCAACACTTTCAAACTGCGTTACCTCATCTCACCTCGCTTCTTTAACCTTTGGATCTCAAACGTCTCCTACACCCGATCGCTCTCCAACTCTTTCGCTCCCAGGACACGCTTCACAAAGGAACGCGCGAAACTTTCATAACAGCCTAATAATTTAACGGTAGTAGGTTAACGAGAGCGATCCGGCGCATGTCCGACGTTACGACGAGACTTAGCCGGCTGCTGGGATTTTGACTGTCTCCGGATTGACGCGGGCTCGTAATTACGGAGAAAGGCCGCGGTTCGTCGACGGAAATATCGCTCCGTTCCGCGCGGTTCTTTTAACTTCGCAGCCGCGCCGTACGCGCCGCACTAATTGGGAGGAGAGCGCGTGTCTACGCGGCCCGTGTACGCGCGCACGTGAATATTTTTATAGGGCGCACCCTTCTCCAAAAAGGCGAGAGAAACGCAAACGCGAGCGCGAGAACCACCGACTATCCATCTTTGAATTTTCTTTTTACGACTCGCCTTTGCATCCGACCCGCCGCAATTGTTCCCGTTATTTATGCCGGCTTGTTCGCGTTAGTTAAACATTACTAAATTCAGTCTAGTTGGCAGTGAGTGGACTACACGTGTCTAGTCGCCAGAGATCGAGAGCTGGTTGATGCGTTAAAAATGATCTTCGCGAGGAAAAGGCTACAACGGACGAAATTCGACTTGGGTGTCTTTCTTTATCTTCGGATTAGAAGAACACACGGAGAGTCGCAAATCGAGCGAATGGACGGTCTATTTACCTGCAACACCCTTTTTGGTAAGCCAGTTTTCTGGGAAAGCTGCTTGAGGTCCTTCGCGTCGGGATTGTGATTGATCGCGAAATAGCTCTTCATCGTCCTTAACTGATGATGCTTGAAACTCGTTCTCATTCGTTTCGTTCTGCTGTTAGAGCCGGGTATACCTGGGGTCCCAGGACCTCTGCCGAAGGGCATGTCTATGTAGTCCGCGTTTAGATCTGCAACATCAATTCAAACGGCGCTCTCGTGAAATCCTTATCTTCTCGATGCAGCTTCCGGAGTTTAACGGTTCGAAGTTTCACCGAATCGCCGATTTCAAAGAGGACGCGAGCGCACAGAATCATTCGAATTTTACCGAATCCCGGCTTACTCGAATTCAATCTTGTCTTCGATACGCCTCGAACATCGTCGCTCTGGACAGGAAAGCATAATAGATCGGCGCGCCGGATTGAGGTATCGTGCCTACGAACTATTTGCTGCATAGAGTTGTAATTGAGCGTGTATCCACCGGCCTCTCGCACACACTATCGCCGTCCCCCCTCCAACTCTCTTTACAGTCGAGGAGCTAATGAGCTGTGATACGCATCAAACAGGGCTAAAACTCGCTTCCGTCGGCACGTCGTGTCGCTTCGGCAAGCTCGTTCTGAGTCCAGTTGACGACTCTATTGAAGCTCGTGGCTGTCCTGGGAGATACGTGGACCGTATACGAGCGTGAATAGAACGTCTCGAGGACGTTTGACAGCTTGAATCGGAAGTAGCGAACCAGGAACTTGCACTTCGGATCTGGAACCAAAGCGGAACGTTTGGCTTCACATCCGAAGTTCCAAGTCCGCATTTCGAGCGTGATTTTTCAGTCCCCTGTCAACTTCACCCGAAATTACATTCCCTCTGCCGTCAAAGTGAATGACAAAAGAGCGTTGGAGGTGTATCGAGATCCGTCGACGCACAAAACTGCTTGCAATTCAACATTCCAAATACAAGGTGGGCTCGACTGTTCGTTTCGTTCTTGCTTCCACCGTGGCCAAAATTCAAGCGCAATTACCAAACGCCCGGCTATATATCTCGCCTCGAGAGCGTGGCTCGTCGCGACCCTCGGTAATGGCCGTGAAAAATTGCCGGCATGATCCACGATAGATCAGAAACCAGCTTGTGGTACCGGACGATCACCTGCACGCCGCTACGATCCTTTTTCACGGCGACACGGCGACATCGAACGACCTCCTCCAGCGAGGAGGGGAAAAAGGAACAGGGAGGAGAGGTGGCAAGTGGAAGCTTCGTGGTCCGCAGCGGCGGCGGCTTGAACCAGACGGAACCAGTTGTTCCCACGAGCGGTCAACAATCGGGAATTAAGTTCTCAACGCTGCCGGCGCGCCCACGTGGGCGCGAGTACGCGCTTTGTCCGGGCTCCGGATTCGGAAATTTATGTCGCGCCGACAAATTTTATCAGGCTTCGGTGGCAAACGTCGCGCGTCCGTAAATCACGGCGAACTAGTCGTGCTTTCCCCGCGCACGAGGTGCGACCAGAGGCCGCTTTCCGAGAACGCGGACAGATCGGGCCCCCCGATCTGTGGCCCCTTGGATTTTTCACGAGTCCCGAAATCGCGAGAACGGTAAAGACCCGACCCCGGCATCGAGAGAATCGGCGAATTTGACGTTGGAAAACCTCGAGAAATCGGAGAAGCCTTTGCGTCCCTTCCACATCCCCGATCTCTCCGCGTTGAAACAACAATCGCCCGGGCTAAGTCCGGCGCGCAAAGCAATTCTTAAGACTCACCAAGACTTGCGGTCATGGTTTCAAGATCCTTCGGCTTCCTCTTTCTCGGTCTGCCCTTCTGCCTGGGCGGCGGTACCACGGTGGCGGCGCCATTGAAGTAGGGTACCTTGGCGGGCGAAGACGCATCGGGTACGGAGGGTGTCGAAGGCTGCAGGGGTACCGGGCTGACGTGACTGTGCGGGTGCTGGGGGTGCATCGAGTGGTGAGGATGCGGCGGCGCGTGATGATGGTGATGATGATGGAGGAACTCGGGCGAGGGGAAGGGCGGCTGGCCGGGATAATGCGGCGGATAGACCGGAACCGGCGGGCTCTGTGCCGGATGCAGCTCGGCGCCCATCTCGTAGTGCAGCCGACAGAGCACGGCGCCATCTCGCATGCCGAAGTGGTCGCCCTTCGTTAAGGGCACTGCGCACGCCGCGCACGAGAAGCAGCGCACGTGGAAGACGAGGTCGCGCGCGCGCATCACTAACTCGGACGCCAGGATCGCCGCTTGGCAGCGCGCGCACCGCTTCATGCTACCGAACATTCTGCGAACAGAACGAAAGAGATATCAATGTTACACTGTGCAATGCATATTCCACCATCACCCTCGGACTCTTCACCTTTCGTCCGCTCCTTTGCAGTCTCTGCGAGCGAACAGAGATGGTACCGCGTATGTCGCATTATGAGGACCACGCTGCGAAGCGATCGAAGAGCCGAACAGATCGCATGTACGCTGTATTATACATGTGTTAGTGCGAGGTCCCTAGCCTCGCCGATGGATCTCACGTCCAATTAATCGGGGGGAGGGGGGGAGAAAAAGCGGTCTGTGCGAAAATAAACCCGATCGTGACACCGCAGCGTTATCCGGTATGAACACATTCCGCATGTCTGACTACTATCGCGCCGCGCGATATTCCTCGATATCAGAGCGTCCTCAATGGGGTTCTGTTAGAGAGACAGAGAGAGAGAGAGAACGTGGAAGGACGGGGGGAGCGGGAAAGAGGTGAAAGGAAAGAAAAAGAAGAGGGGGGGGNGGGGGGGGGGGGGACATATACGTCGGGTGATATCGCGAAGGCCGGAGAGGATACGGTATGGTAGCCGCGCGCGCGGAGGAGCAAAAGGGCAGGAAGGGAAGAAGGAATATACCGATGCACCGGGCGCCGTGACATCGCTACTGCATTAGCGGCACCCTGCAGTCTCCATTACCGGGGCCGGTCGACTATCTGGCCGACAACCACGCCGCGGCTACCTACCTAACCACCTATCTCGCTCTTCGCCTTCCAAATATATTACCTCCCCGCGCGCCCCTACTAAAGAACCTAGATAGAGACGTGGCCGATCTTATAACGCCGATCCCGGAGCCGGTCCTACCGAAGCGTGTGCATACGTGGTCCTTTACGACGTCCCGGCCAGCGCCGGAGTGTCCGGGGCCATCGGAAATGGATATTTCGCTGACGGTGAAATAAACGCGCGATACGCCCCTTTCCCATGGAGCCCCGAATCTCCCACCGTCCTTAAAGCGTACGGTGGCAGGACGGTTTTAGTTCCTCAAATATCCGCGCACGCCGAATACTTTGTATCGCCGGTGTCGGTGTGAATTGGTAGTCTCTATACTTGGACTCCCGGGTATTATCCGGGTACTCGAATTCGGCACGGAGCATTTAGTGGGATATACCAAATGTCACGGTGATACTTGTAATTTGCAATGATTTCCACGGGAACGGTGTTGTCGAATCGGGAGAGTTTCCAGCGGCACGCGTGGTTGGTGCGAGTCTTCCTGATTAACGGCGAGTATCATTAAGACTACTGTGTCATGTATTGTTTCAGTAGTGAAAGTATTAGTTTTAGCGATATCGCTATTGTATCGGGGAAATTTACTCTAATTATGCGTGCTGTCGGAAGTTTCACCGATCAACAGTATTTTTCCCCCGCGTACGCTAATCACGGTACTCGAAAATCCGGTTAATTCCCGCAATAGTCAAGTATTCAAATACCGGTATTTGAATTATTAACAAATCTCCGACTTCTTTTTATTCATGTTTCATATGTGCTTATTCATTCGGCATTCCTAATTTACTTGATACTCGGATCTTACTTATTCATATATTTTTGTAATCAACGTATTCTGTGGGATTCTAAAATTTTGAATCCAGGCGTTTTAATTTGCGGATCCCTTCGTTGTCAGGTTACTCCAATGAATGAAAGATTCGTTCTCGATGTCGCAAGCGAGGTTTCCACAGATCAAAGATATCAACGGGAATGAAATCGGTGGAAACAAAGGAAGGATGTGTGTACACGAAATGACATCCGTGATGAAATCTGCACGATTGAAAAACGAGGGAATGCGGAATAAATGTGCGTAAGCAAAACGGCTTTTAGAACGCGGCAGTTTGCATGCTCGACGTTACGTTGCGAGTGAAAACTTCGAGAAACCACATTATTTGGACACACCAACGTGTGATATTAACAGATATTTGCAATGGCAACCAAGATTCCAGATCTCTTTGCGACAATCGTGAAATCCTAAACAAGTTGGGTAGGGAGTGCCGGAAAGTGGAACAAATAATTTAAATTGCGAGAAAGAGACTGACCTAAAATATCGCGACGGTCTTGTCACAAGGGAACTGCATTCTTTCGGTGACAGCTTCGCAAAAACGTAAGAAATAGTAATGAAATTCAATGGATCCTTCGTAAAACCTAATCTGTGGGATCAACCGCACCAAATCTCTCGCTCTTTCAAGGGTCTCTTGACTCGGGACACATTGTCATCGTCTCTAATCCTATTGACTACCCCAGTCCCGACGGGGCGATGATCGCGACTGACGTTGGGCTTGTCTCCACATAGCGGTGTGAGACCGCACATTTTCGCCTAATCGGATCTGTCGCGCCTTGTTGGCCAATCGAGCGAGATACACGGCTGGATGAATAGCGACGGTCGGCGAAAACTGAATGTGGAAAATGTGGAGAATGTAGCTTGAAAAACAATCCTCAAGCGAAACCTCATTCACTCCAGTCTCGGCAAAAAATCTTTAGAGAAAGAGGGAGAGAGAGAGAGAGAGATATATAAATCATATTTTTCAATCGAAAAGTTGGGACAGGGAAATCATCGGTAACCACAAATCATTGAACAGTTCGAACACTGTATTTCCCCGAGTTCATTTTTTTCTCCTCTTACATTCCGCAGATTTGAAATCAGGATTTATTGCAGCGCACATTCAACTGGGTGATCCTCGACCGCTGATCCGTTTTCAACAAGTGGGAGTCAGTGTGTTTTCCGGAAGAATAATAACTCACGTCCACGGAGGGCTACCATAATACGAATACGTAACGTAGCGTGAAACAGCGCGAGACATTGGGACACGACACATAACGCAAAATAAAGCACTCACAAGCCAGCCGTGCTACCCTCAATCCCATAAAACATTCTTCTCCCTATTTACTTCTCGTCGAAACACACCACACCCCATACCTATACGAGCGAGCGACCAGCCAACCATCGCAGGTAAACGAAGCCGGCGATTAGAACGAAGCCGAAAATCTACAGAGTTTGCCCCCCGCCGAAAGCGACCTGGAGGCGGTTTTTCGGGACCTTTCGTCACCTCGAAAGTCCGCCGGGCCGGATGAATGAACCGGCCCCGACCACATTCAGGTCTTCATCCTCGGGCGGGACCGGGCGGGGGGACGCCCGCAGAGTTTTACAAGATGCGCCATATGCGATACATTATTATACAATGCGCGAGAGCGCGCTCTAAACGCGCTATAGTCGCCCTCTTCCACGGGGAGAAAAGAGCGGCGGAAATCCTTTATGGAGCGAGCGAGCGAGCGAGCGAACCGCGGCGGACCGCTCGCCGCGCGTTCGCACACTCCGGACCACGTGGACCTCGCCTTTTCTCTTTCTTCTCTCTCTCTCTCTCTCTCTCTCTTTCTCGTCCTTTTCCTTGACCATACTCGCAGCGAGAAACGCCGGTATTTCCTCTCTCGCTCTTCCGGAAGCGAGACATGTCTGTGGCGAGAAAGATTTCTCATTCGTGGCTTTTGGTTTCGCGCGATGTTTACGGGACCTCCTCGTTGTAACGTTTCGTGCGACGTTCGCGATTAAAATACGATAATTGGCGGTTTAAGTTTCTCGTCGAATAATTTCCGCATTTTTACGATGGAGGACGCGCCGAGCAGGCGGCTTTTCACCCGCGATTTTGACACCGCGCGACGACCGCGGCTCGCGTGACATTCGTCGACAGGTTTCGCGAATCATCAAGCGGAAGTAAACGCAAGTTAAAAGCGCGGTAGCGTAAATATCGATGAGCACGATAACGCGCTCTTATCATCCTTACGCCTATGCATCCGTCTTTCTCTCTCTCTCTCTCTCGTCTCTACGTATCGCTGAATGTCGCCGATGCATTTCTCAAAGCGCGCGGGCACATTTATTTCACGCGCCGCGCCACAATCGGCGAATCTGCCCGATTAGATCTGCGCCGCGGTTATCGCCAGATGCATTAATTACCGGTGTAGCCGGGGAATTCCACTCAGCAGCGCTGCCCGACGGCCTTTATCGTGGAAATAATAATTTACGGCATCGGTCGCCGGGCAAGGCCGGGCCGCTTAATCCCTGAACGCGCGCAGAAAACGGGTTGCCGGCAAAAATGTAGTTAGGCCGTAGCTCGATACAGGGTGTCCCCAAACACAGACGTAATCTCGACCGGTGAACGAGAATCGTCCTTTCCTTCTTTTTCTTTTCTCTCTCTCTCTCTCTCTCTCTTTTTCCCCCTCGCATTATTTGAGGTTAAACCTTTCGGTGAGAAAATTTAAACGGAGCGCCAGATAAAAATCCCGCTCTTTTTACCCGTAGCTGCAGCGCGACTGCCACGAATATTTTTCTATTCTATCGACGAGATTTATCTGTCGACAGCGTTTATGTACGCGGAATTTATCCCGACGGTGCGAAACGTCTATTTATTATACGGTGTCGATATATTCGGGTATCCGAGTACCACTCGAGTATCCGAGGTACTCGAGTAATCGCTTACTTAGGTATTACTCCGATACCCGAATCTTTCGGATATTTCTTAAATACTTGGTTGTTTCGCAAGCTACTAGAATATACATGATTCCTGGCAACGGAAGCTATCCAGTTTACACTGACCAGACTACTATTTAGATTAACATCAATATTTATGTCCCTCTTTCCGGTGCTAATGCACGTAGATGAACGAGATATCTGTCATGAACGAGAATACCGCTAGAAATATTCGTTGCTCAAAACGTGGACTCTAACGGACGCATACGCTTTGTTTGAGCACCGTGTACGTAACAACCCGCATACACGCTAATAGATATCAGTACACAGACCTTCGTACCGTTCGAACATTCAATTGCTGACTTATATGACAGACACGCAGCGCCATAAAATCCGTACAGAATCTGTATCAAGGCCGCCGACGATCTTTGTGCGATTCCTCGCGGCGTGATAGGATCTTTTCACGTTGTCAGATTTACGGACAGTTAATTTCCAGAAGGTCGAGTCCCGAATTTCCGGATTGCCGAATCT